AACCTATACAAGCACCACCATCAGCAGCTTTCTCCAACCTCGGGCAGCGGCGATGGCGGCACAAGCGACCTGACCCACCGCGATGACACGCCCCAGGTCGCAGCGCCAGTCTGCACTACTACAAACGGTAGCACCAATACTGCCCAACCAATCCAGCTCAGCACACCTACCATCAGGCTCCAGGGCCGTCAGTGCCAGGAGTTCGACGGCATCGAGTAAACCTCCATCGACGGCGAGCAACGGTTGCCCGATCACCAGGCCCCCGCCCTGCTCAACTGCCCACGCGACGCCCAGACCGACGCCGAGCAGCGACAGCAGATGAGGCAGTTTCGCATGCTCCGACCAACCTCGGACACAAGCACTACCCCGCTCCAAATACGCAACCGCTTCAGCCCACTCGCTGGAGACGACGACCACACCCCACGCCCCGCACACAAGCATGACCTTCACCAGCACCCACCACCCAACAAGTGCACCCAGCAACGACGAGACCCAGTCGCGGATGCCCTGGAGCGGCAAGGTTCAAACTTCGAGACGGGCTCGAAGGGCGGGGGGGCAGGGCGAGGACTGCCCGCGCCCGCCAGGGGGGATGGTGAGGGGCAGGGGGGGGGGGGGTGGCCGCGGCCACCACCCACGCCCCCGCGGTCCGCTCTAGCCTGCCACCCCCACCATTCCCATGGCGGAGGAGGAGCTCGCCCGAACGCCGACGAGGCAGAGCACGGGGCAGATGCGACCCAGCCCACCATGAACAACACCAAGCACAAGGATCGGGTTTCACCCCCCGCCACCTGTCGCTCAGGTCCCACGCCCACCACAAGCACCCACCATGTGCATCCTACACCCATTCAGCGGGCGACAGAGGCTATCGGACATACACCATTGGTACGAACAGCTACCCGTAGTCAGCAGCCACTCGATATACGTGCCATCGCTTGATGTCGCCAACGACGCGACCTTCGGCGACCTAACCAACGAGACCTCAGTGGCTAAGTGGAGTCAAATGCTCAAAGATGGACGCATCAAGGCGGTGCTAGGAGGGCCGCCGTGCGAGACATGGTCGCGCTCGCGCCACCTACCACCCAACCAGTGCACGGGCAGGCCGCCGCGGCCTCTCCGCTCGGTGGCCCGACTCTGGGGCCTTCGGCACCTCCGAAGGACAGAAGCATAGCAAGTCAGACAGGGCAGCCGCCTATATCGTACGCAGCTCGAGTTCCTCTACGCTTGCGCGGTGTACGACATACGTGGGCTTCTAAACATCCTGTTGAACCACGAGAGCAACACATGCCCAGCAGCTGGCGGCTGCCAGAGACCGCCCACCTAGCAGTTCAGCCCAACGTCGACACCATCACGTTTGACCAGTGCACCTGCGGTGCAACCTCCCAGAAGACCACTACTCTTCTCGCGGTGGCGTCCGATGCTCTGCTAGAGCGCTTCCGACGCCTCCCAGGCGCGGGGAGATGCTTCCACGCCGCGCGCTACCACGAGGAGCTCGCGGGCGTGGACGAGCAGGGAAGCTGGAACACAAGCGCCGCCAAGGAATACCCGCCCATGGGTTGACAAGCAATAGCGGAAGCGCTTGCCACCCAAGTGGCTCAGGGGTTCGCTGCAAGCTCACCTGACCGACACTGGTACATCGAGCCCGACTGCCCCCACTTCTACAAGCCCCTCGACCCCTACTTGTCGCGCGAGATGTGCAGCGACCATCATCTTACCCACCGTGGACCACCCATCGACCTGCACGAGCCACAAGAATTGGCCAAGGCTGACGCCGGGCATGCACCACCGCCACCACAGCCACCACCCTCACAACCCAACCTACGGACACCGACCCTCACCCTCTCACCCCCTCCCCGACCGACCACCGCTGCGATCTTGACGGCATGCTCCTTGCACCTATCCACGCGAGCTCCTGTTCAGTCAGGCCGCGAGGGCTGGAGCGGAAAACTTGAATTCGCAGTAGACCCCCCCTTTTGACGCCCTACACACCACGCACCAGCAAACGAGCGCCACCGCGACCAACCTTCCATCCGGCCAGCCAACGCAGGCGACCGTCCGACAGACCTGACCAACACATACAAGCAATCTGACCAACACACACACACACAGCACGACTCGACCTACCTTCCCTACCTTCACGCTGGCTACGACCCCCACCATCTCCAGCATCCGACCCTTCCCACGACGCCAGAAACGAAGCTCGGGGATCGAGGTGCCGCAGGCGGTCCAGAGTGCATCCGTAGACATCTGCGTACCTTCCAAGGCACAGCAGGTCGAGCCTCAGGATACCAGCACCAGCACCCACCTTACGACTTAATGAGCAACCACCAGCACCACATGCATACTGCAGCAACGATTGACAGCAACGACAAACCGCCCCAACACCACCAAGACGACGCCCCATACAACAACCACCACCAAGAAGCCCATGCCGCTCAAAGAAGATACGCACCATGGCGTGAACACACAAAGTCACGAGGAAGCCACGACAGCGTGGGAACACCCCAGGCAATGTTGCCGAGCTGCAGGCGTCAGGACGCAAAGCCCTGAGGATTAGGCACAATGCGCCACGTGAAGCACATGGCCTGGGGTTCGCCCCCGCCGAGGGCATTGTGACCCCTAGCCATGCCGGGGCGGGGTGGGACCGCCGCGACTTCCATTCGAAGTCGGTGCATGGAGGCCAACGACGCGCGACCTACAACCCCACGCCCCTACCAAGCAAAGAACCGACCAACGACCCACCCCACTGACCGACCAGCCAGACCGAGGAGGACAACAGCGAAGTACATGTGGAAAGTTGCGTGCGAGAAGGCGGCGAGATGCCACATCCGCAAGAGCATCCGCCAGAGGACCAGAAGGCCAGAGGCGAATGGTGGGAGACCACACCCGCCCGGCCTTCCCAAGGAGCTCGCCCATGCAGGAGAACACGCAGATGAGCATGCAGGAGGAGGAGGAGGCCCAGGCCGAAGGACGCGAGGCCTGCTCAGGCGTGCGAGAAAGGTGGTGTGACGCCACGCCCGCACGAGCCATCAACCAGGCACTCACGGAGCGGCCGCGCTCCTAGGTTGGCAGCAGCAGCGCACAGGCGCTGAAGGGTTGCTACCTGTCGCTTGCGTGCCTTTCACGACAGCGCCGCCTCCAGCCAGGAGGCAGGAACGCTGGAAGAAACGACCCACCCCACCGATTGACCAGCCATACTGAATATGACAGCAGCGAAGTACATTGGAAGACTGCATGCGACAAAGGTGGCGAGACGCCACATCCGCACAAGCACCCATCAGACGACGCAGAAGGCCAGACGCGACAGGTGGGGGACCACAGCCGTCTGGCCTTCTCACGGAGAACATGCAGGAGAACATGCAGACGAACCGAAGGATCAGGAGGCCCAGGCCGACGGATGTGAGGCCTGCTCAGCCGCGCGAGGAAGGTGGATAGAAGCCATAGCCGCACGAGCCAGCAAGCGGGCACTCACGGAACGACCATGCTCTTCGGCTGGCAGCAACAGTGAACAGGCGCCGAAGGTTTGCTGCCAGCCGCCTGCGTCACAAGCAGGACAGCGCCGCCTCCAGTCGGAGGAAGAACGCTGGAAGAACACGGCGACCCATGCAACAGACAGAGGGGCGCCCAGCGGCCCGCAGCTGGAAAGACAAAAGCCAAGGGGCGTCCAGCGGCCAGCAGCTGGAAACAGCTGGCGGCTTCGGGGCGCTACGGGGCCCGACCCCACTGGCGCGCGAAACAGCGGGAAAATAGCGGGAGGAGGAGGAGGAGGAGGAGGAGGAGGAGCAGGAGCAGGAGCAGGAGCAGGAGCAGGAGCAGGAGGAAGGAGGAGGAGGAGGAGGAAGGAGGAGGAGGAGGAGGAACAGGAGGAGGTGGAGGAGGAGGAGGAGGAGGAGGAGGAGGAGGGAGGAGGAGGAGGAGGAGGAGGAGGACGGGGGAGGAGGAGGAGGAGGAGGAGGAGGAGGAGGAGGAGGAGGAGGAGGAGGAGGAGGACCAGTGCAAACCCAAGACTCATCAAAGATGTTGGAGTAAATGCTCCCTCCAAGCTCCCTCTTCACATGCCCCTACAAGGGTTCAGGTCCACTGAGGGAACTGACTCGTTGGGGAGAACCGACTGAAGACCTTGAAACCTGCCAAAACACCGTTTTCGGGATTCCAGCGCCACGGATCAACCTTATTGTTGCGTCTGGAGGATATTGGATCGTACCAGAACACCGCTTTGGGGATTTCAACACCGCGAATGAACGTAATTGTTGCACCCTCACAATCCGGAACCCTTCCCAGGCACACTCCTTGGTAAATTGCCCATGGGAATCCGTTAAATTCTTGCAAATGTTTGAAACGAACGTGCGCGGCGCTCATCCGGAGGGAAAACACGCAGACACAACGAATCGTCGATTCCCAAGGAAAATATGGGAGAATATGGGAAGTGGGGGAAGACGAAAACCCAGAAAGTATTGGAGTTTATGGGAAATGCTGATACGATTTACTTGTGTGTCCCATGGCCCCTTCATCTAAGGCGAGAGCCACATTTTGAAAACGGCCCGCCTGCAATCCTTGAAAGCCTCGCAACTGTTGAAAACGAATGTGCGCGGCGCTATGGCGAGAACCACATTTGGGAAGCGGCCCAACCTCCATTTGTAAAACTGTTGCCAATAGTATTGCTTCAGGGTCATAAGTGGGGAGTCGTGAGGAAGTCTCAGGCGAAACGCCCGGCCCGTTTTTTCGACTGGGTGTGCGACACGGAGAAGTCATTTAGAATGGAAAGGACAGGAGGAGAAGGAGGAGGAGCAGGAAGAGGAGGAGGAGGAGGAGGAGGAGGAGGAGGACGAGGACGAGGAGGAGGAGAAGGAAGGAGAGGAGGAGGAGGAGGAGGAGGAGGAGGAGGAGGAGGAGGAGGAGGAGGAGGGGGAGGAGGCGGAGGGGGGAGGAGGGGGAAGTAGCAGGAGCAGGAGCAGAAGGAGAAAGACTACCAGGGTTCTCGCGATTGGGGCGGCCGCCCCGAGGCCATCAGCGCCAAGCTGCAGGCCGCCTCCGAACGCCGGCGGGCCGCGCTGCTCGGGTCTCGGTACGGCCTCGTGGAGCTTCCGCCGCCGCCGCCGGGCTCGGGGTCGCCCAAGAGTCAGGGGAGGAAAATAGGCACAGACGCAAGTAATAGTGGATTCCGAAGAGACTGTGGGAAGTGGAGGGGGGGACGTAAGTCTGGAGAGCGTGGATGAATCTCGGGAATCCTGGGATTTGCGTAGATGCATTTGTGTGTGTGTCTTTGGGCCCCTCCAGATGGCGTGGCGCATTTCGACTGCTCCGCCTCGATTCGGGTCGAGGTCGATCGATTCCGATGCCGACTCCGACTCGACCCTGGGTTCCGACTCGGGCTCCGGCTTCTCGGTGGAGGCCTTACGTGGCCTGCCGAGTTCCGCCGTTCGACTTCTCCCGCCCTGGCTGCCGATTGCCTCGCCGACCCGAGTCACTCCGATCGATGATCCGACTCGTGACTGGATCCGACTCGGGCCAGGAGCGAGGACGCTCTCGCCGTCGAGGGCGAGGGGCAACACGGGGGGGGGGGGCGCCCGGGGGGGGGACGCCTCGGCTCCCGATCGCCCACCCACCGCCGACGGGGGCCGACGGGGGGCCCCACCCCGCCCAGGAGCGCGCGGCGTCGCCACTGGGCGCGCAGCGCTGACTGCCAAGGCTTTCGGCGGCCTGTGCCGCCGGCCCCGAAGGGGAACGACGACAACGGCGGCGGCGGCGGCGACGACGACGCCGGCGTGGGTCGGAGTCTCCGTGGGTGCTTCGTGGGGCCTCTTCGGAGCGCGCTCGTGGGCCTCCGGGGGTGCTTCTCGCCGACCTGTCGGCGATGCCTCGCCGATTCCGGATCAAGGGTTCCCCCCCCTTGGCTCAGCCCCCCCCCCATCTAATTGAACGCCCATGAGGGTGCAGACACCGACGCCCCACGTTTCCGGACATGTGAAGATTCTGCGGGGGAAGAGGAGGGCAGTTGAAATGGTCCCAAAGGTCAAGAGGGGGCTCCAAGGGCCCCCCAAAATGCCTAAAACTGCCCAGGAGGGCCCTAAGAGTGCCCCCAGAGGATCCGAAAACGATCCCAAAAGAGGGCACCCAAAGTTGTCGAAAACGGCGGACGAAACCGAAGAGGGATACGGAGAGGTAAAAGGGAGCTACACGAGTTAGTGATGAGGCCCGACGGCCCTCCAGGGACCCCCTGGGCGCGCCCAGGACGGCTCAAGAGGGATCCAAAAGGGCGGCCAGACGGCCCAAGATGGCACCGAGAAGCATCCAGGACGGCTCGAGAGCCTTTGGAGATATTCCAACGTGGCCGGAGAGACCCCAAGCGTGCCAGAAGAGGCTCCACGAGAGTTCCAAGAGGCGCAAAGAGAAGCCCGAAAGGGCGAAAATCTGTGAAATATGGTTTTGTAAGTTTGTGGCATCCTCATGTTTCCGGCTCAACATGACTCGAAAAGGGCTTAGGAAGGGTCCGAGACGGCCACAGCGTCCAGAGGTCCTCGGGGACGGGCCAAATGAGCCTAAGAGGGCCCCAAGAGGCTTCACAGAGTGCCCAGGAGGGCTTCCGTAGAGAGCCCGAACGGCGCCTGGAGGCGTCTACGAGTCTCCCGTGCGGAGGCGTGCTTCAGTTGAGGGCAGAATGGCGGCCAGCGGACGCCCGTTGTGCAGCCAGGGCCCTGGGCTGGTGGAATGAGCAGGCTGCGGTGAGGACCCCAGGAGGGGTTGCGAGCGATTTTTGGAAAGGTATGGGTGCGAGGAATGCGTGGGTAAGGCGACTGAGGGGAAACCGTGCTTGCAGACCATGCGGCTTGGATAGCGCACGCCGCACTCAATGGGGCGGCGGATCGCTTCGCTCGCTCCCTTGGCCCATGTTGGCCCATGTCGCATCACTGTTTCCACCTGTTGGTGTGCTCGTGGCGGGCGAGAAGGAGGTTCGGTTCGATCGTCCTCGAGGGTGTGAGTCAAGCTCACAAAGGGCCAGGCGGGTGCTGCCTCCAATGGAAGCACCAGCCGAAATTGGCCCACTCAGGGCCCATGAGCGAGGGCCTCATGAGGGCCCACAGCTCATATGCAAAACGTACAACATTGGGGTCACAATAAGACCCGAGAAGGAGGAGGAGCAGGAGCAGGAGCAGGAGCAGGAGGACGAGGAGGAGGGTCCTGGAATCGTTCCCCCTCAGGGATGACGAGGTGAGATGTGCCTCCTCGGCGCGCGCCGTTCCAGCGAGCCCGGCCCCCACCCCGCTCCCCCGCGCGCGCGGCATCGAAACACCTCGTGGGAGGCCCCTCCACACAGAAGGCCCGCGGGAGGCCGCAACTCTGGGTCTTCCGCGTCTGACCCAGGGACATCGAGGTTCGAAGTTCGAGGGTTTTTGGCGTTTCCGTTGGGTCTCGGCGACTTTCCAGCCTCGCGATGCCTTCCAGCGGCTGCGCCTCGCCGAGGGCGTTCCAGGGGGTGGCCAGTGTCGTCCTGAACGTCTGCCAAAGACCGGATCTAAGATCCGAAAGCCAGAGTCGGGTATAGCCAGGACCCCGTGCATGTAAGGGGAGCCAGTTCGTGATCGGGCTCCGAAGCCCAATGCATTGGCCAGAGTCCCTGGGCCAAGTCTGCCGCATCTGGTGCTCTCCGGATGACGGCAGTTCCGATCAGGGGGGAAACATTTAGCTGAACCCGACAATTGGCGTTTACTAAACGGCCCTTGGCGTTTACTAAACAGCCCTGCCCCGTTTAATCATTTATTTGGGCGCGTTTACTAAACGACTTCGCGTGTCAGGGTGGTTATTATGGGGGTCAGTGGAATGGGGCGGGGGGTCGCCCCCTGGCACACATCACTAGACGGGGTCCAATTATAAGCCAGTCCAGCCGACGCCCATCAGGCACCGGGGGAGCCCCGCAGAGCCTCGAATCGGGAGCCTCGAGACGGGGGTCAGAGCAGACGGGGGTCAGCCAGGGCGCCGGATCCTGCAGGATCCTGCGAAGACCCCCTTCTGGCTGACCCGGGTTAGGGAGCCGCTCGTGGCCGCGAGGCGGCCGCGCGTATTGGCTGACCCGGGTTTGCGAAGACCTGCGTTGCAGTTTGTTTGTTCCTGCATTGCAGTTTTTGGTTTCCTGCTGACCCGGGTCTGGATTGACCCGGGTCAGAAGGTCCCCGATCGAAACCTCTGGCCCTCAGTCTGGGCGGCGCTTGCTTTGCTTTGCTTTGCGGCGGCGGCGGCGGTGGCGGTGGCCGCCGCCGCGACGGCGGCGAGAACGACGACGCACGGCGCACGGCGCACAACGAACGACGTTGCTGCTGGCGACGGCGGGCGACAGACGGCAACGACGACAAAGACGACACAGACGAGGAGGAGGAGGAGGAGGATGTTCATGCTCATGCTCTTGCTCATGCTCATGCTCATGGTGATGATGATGCTGATGATGCTACTGCTGATGATGGTGATGGTGATGGTGATGGTGATGGTGATGGTGATGGTGATGGTGATGGTGATGGTGATGATGATGATGATGATGATGATGCTGATGCTGATGATGATGATGATGATGATGATGATGATGATGATGATGATGATGATGATGATGATGATGTGACGCTCGAGGCGGCCTCGAGGATGGCGGCACAATCAAAAGTGATGGTACCTGTCGGCCGACATGTTCGCACTCGTAAGAAGTAATGTTTTGTGGATCTCGATGTTGGTTCATGCCGACGCCGTGGGAGACCTCACTCTCAAAATGCCGAGGCCAGGACATCGAAGAGGCCAGAACCGACGCCGCAGAGAAGTCATCCCTGGGCGTACTTTTTTGCTTCAGTATGCGGCAGTGAAGTGGTTTGGTCAACTTCGTGGGCTGCAGTATGTGGGCCCCCCTCGTCGTCTCAGCGGATCTGCGAAAGCAGTCTTCTGGCCACGACGGTGTCGTGAGCTTGGCCGCTGCGGGGGGGGGCCAAATTATTTCAACTCAATCAACTTCGTAGGCTACAGTATTCGGGCTCCTCTCGTCGTTGCAGCGGATCTGCGAAAGCAGTTTTCTGGCCACGACGGTGTTGTGCGCTTGGCCGTTGCGAGGGGGGCCCAGTTTCTTCGAGGATGCATGTCGCAGTTCCTGGCATGTGATCCCGACCTTCATTCCCGACGGCCTGTACACCCAGGCGGGAGCGCTCGAGAGAGAGTGTGGCAAGGATTGCTCATCGTCGGAATTCGAGATTCGGTGGGGGCCTGTCAGGAGTTGTGGAATACCTCTCCCCCTCTCGCCTGCCCCCCCCCCCCCCGCGCATGTTCTCTCCCTCCGCAGCGACCTGCTGGCCAACTTGAAACGAATGCCTTCTCAGATCGGTGGTGCGTCGTGGCTCGCGGGTCCCCCACCAACGAGTCGCCACGAATCGCCTGTGTGCCCCCATCCCGAGCGTTCGGGGCAAGTGTTCCTCCTGTAGGCCCTCAGGGCGAAGTGACACCAGCTGAAAACACAGAGATTTAGTACCGTGTCTGCCTTTTTTCCAGCTGTTCGGTGGACGCCCCCCCCAGAGTCCCATTCCCATTCCCATGATGATGATGATGATGATGATGATGATGATGATGATGGTGGTGGTGGTGGTGGTGGTGGTGGTGGTGGTGGTGGTGGTGGTGGTGATGGTGATGGTGATGGTGATGGTGATGGTGATGGTGGCGGTGATGATGGTGTGGTGGCGGTGGTGGTGATGATGATGATAATGATGATGATGATGATGATGATGATGATGATGATGATAATGACGACGATGGCCACGACGACGACGACGACGACGACGACGACGACGACGACGACGACGACGACGACGACGACGACGACGACGGCGACGGCGACGGCGACGGCGGCGTCGGTGGCGGCGGCGGCGGCAGCGGCCCGAAACCCCCGGGAGGAGCGGGCGTTCGGCGAGCAGGCTGCGGGCTTCGACGCCAGGTTCCAGGTCAGCGTGGACAGGCGCCCGCCGGCCGAACCCCAGCGGTGGCCTCGGCCGCTGGGGCCTTGCCTTGACATCCTCGCTCGGAGCGGAGAAAACATGACAGGGGGCATTTGCCCAGCCTCAGCCTTTGGGAGCCCTCGCCGGGGCTTGGGACCGTCAACAGAGGATTCAGAATTCAGAGGAGGACGCCACTGCTGGATTCGCTTCGAAATCCTGGTCAGAACGCTCCCTGGGTGAGGCCTGGGGAGGTACCTTTTGGTTCCCTCCAAGAAAAACTGTGCCGTAGAACTTCCCGGGGACGGGTTTCCCACTCGTGGCCTGTCCTGCGCGGCAGGGGAATGCCACCGTCTTGCTCCCCAAAGGTCGGGGCCCCTTCGATGGGTCCAGGCCTTTGAGGAGTCACGCTGCGAAGAACAATGCGACGGAGGATCTCTGGCGGGGGTGGGGCGGGGACGGCACCTCGAGGATGGAAGGGTGCTCTTCGAAGGGGAGAGGGAGGGAGGAGGGAGGAGGGAGGAGGAGGAGCAGGAGCAGGAGCAGGAGGAGGAGGAGGAGGGAGGAGGGAGGAGGAGGAGGAGGAGGAGGAGGGAGGAGGAGGAGGAGATGGAAAAGGACTACTACCTCATCCTCATCCGCCTCTCCTGCTGCTTCCTGCGTCATCCTTCCTCCTCCCCTCCTTCTCCTCGTCCCCCTTCCTTACTCCTCAGTCCCCCTGGTCCTCCCTCCTTCTCCTCCTTTTTCCGTCTCCTCATCCTTCTCCTCGTCCTCGTTCCTCTTGTCCCCTTCTCCTCTCTCGGGATGAGAAGGCAAACAGGGAGGGGTCGGGGATCTCCCCAAATAGGCCTTGCCTAACAGGATGCAGGGCCTGCGCCGGCTGGCCGTCCCAGGGTGCCTTGGCCTTGGTTCCTTGGTCTTGGTTCCTTGCTGCCGTCCTCGGGGTCGTTGGTCGTGGTTCAATGCTGCCTCGCCACGGACGGCCAAGCGCAAAGCAACGCCAAGCAATGTGCCAAGCGATGTCAAGCAATGCCACGCAATGCGCACATGAAATAGGAAGCTTTCCTCAAATTGGGGTCGCCAGGGTCATGATTAGATGTTTGCCTGGCCATTTTTGGGATGCTGCTTGATGTCTCCAGCGCCTTCTGGGCCGTCCGGAGTCTTCCAGAGACTTCTAGGGGTCCTGATGCCGCCCCGCATCCCTCGGGATGCGGGGGAGGAGGATCTCGGCCTCGCTCCGGGCCCCGGGATTGGGACGGTCAGAAACTGATGCGCGGCACAATAACAGGCTTGGATGTTAGAGCCGGCTGGGTGGCTGAAGTGGCCCCCTCGTCGCCACGGCTGGACGCGCCTCGAAAAAATTGTCAGTGTCGACCTCGGGAGGGGTGTGGGATTTGGAGGCCGATTTTGAGTGGGTTTGCCTTGGTCCCCCACCTCTTGACCGACTTCCTCGGGGCTCGTCCAGCGCAGACAACCCGACCGTTTCCACCCCGTATGGGCCCCGAGACGTGCGGGGGGACAGCTTCTGAGCTGACTTCGGGGCTCCCGGGGTCAGGCGATCGCAAACATGGATCAAGAAGGCGTGGATTAGCGACGGGTCCCCTTTCCATTGGGAATCGCGGATTTCCGCCGCCGAACGAGGCGGCACCGGCCGTATTTTTGGGGAGAACACCTCGCCCGGCCCATGGCTTTGGCGACCGCGCGCCAAATCCATGGATCGCTGATCCGTGTTTGCGCGCCCCCCGACGGCCCCGAAGCCGTGCGGTGACGGCCCGCGCGGCGACCTCGACATCCCCGGAGGCCCCACCGCGCGGCCCGTGGGGCCTCGGAGGCCTGGGTCGCCCGAGGCGTCCTCGGAGAGCGGCCCCGGGTCCAGAGGCCGCGTGGCGACCGATGGCCCCCGCGGACTCGCCACGCGGTGTGGTCACGCTGTCTGGGCCCGGGGCCTCCCGGATGGGGTCGGGGTGGGCGGGGTCGGAGGGTCGCGCCGCATCGCCGACGCATCGGCGATGCCGCTCGATGCGGAGCCCGCTTCTCTCCACGCCGGCGTCGCCGGTGCACCGCCGACGTCGCCGATGCACCGCCAGTGCATCGCTGACGTCTCGGCGATGCGGCGCGATCCTCCGACCCCATCTAGGAGGCCTCGACTGGAGGCCACCGAGGCTCGGCGGATGAAGGGTCGAGGCTTGTGCGCCGGGGGGCCCTGGCCAAGTGCGTCGGGGGGCCTCCAGAGGCCGAGAGGTCTCTTGGGGACCCTCTGTTCTGCAGAGACGCTCAGGGGCAACGTTCGTGGGGTGGGGGGGGTAGTTAGGCTACGGGGCAACGTTTATTTGAAGGGGAGAGGGTTTCCAACAGTTTCTTGGAGTTTCTGAAGCTTGGCATCGCTCGGACGTGTGCATTTTTTCTCGGCGAGAACCATCGAGGACAATCCTGGACCATCGAGCAAAGAAAGCACGCACGAAACCGAAAAATGCACGGGAAATGGACGTCCGAGCGACGGCAAGTGAAGGTCTTCGAGACCTGGGGCGGTTCTCATCACTTGCGCTGCCAAGGGTACCAGAGCCGTCCCGAGCGGCCGCCGGAGAGCCGGGCCAGGACCCGAGATCCGAGGGGCAACGTCTATGTCGGGCGTGTCCCCCTGCAGGGGGAGCTTCGACGAAAAATACAGAACACTCCAAAAATATGTCAAGAAGGTCAAAAAAAAAAAACAAAAAAATAGTCCCCAGACTATTTTTGGATTATTTTTTTATTATTTTTGGGGTATTTTGCATTTTTCGTCGAACATCCCCCTGTAGGGGGACAGGCCCGACATGAGGCAACGTCAGGGAGGGCGTGGGGGGGATGCAGCCTCAACCCCAAGTCGTCCACTCAGCGCCGACGGGGACCTGCTAGCCCTCAAGCCAGGGAACGAAGGAACGTGGGGATCGCCATCCCGTGGCCTGCCGCCGAGCTATCGGAGATGTCTCGCCGATTCCAGGTCGGCATTCCCTGGGCCGGCACCCCCTCGTCGTTCCCCCTCACCTGAGATCTGACGTCACGAAGCAGCTGCAACACTGCAAAAGCAACTCAACCGCAGCCCTGGACCCCGCCTTTCTGCTGCATGCTTCTAGCCAGCACGACCCGTGAGGGCCCCAGGGCCCGACAGGGCACACTCGCCCGCCGTGAAAAAAAAAAAAAAACGCGACGCCAGGATCGCAGGGTTCTGGCGTTTCTCGGGTCACAACTCTGACCTCCGGCGGCCGCTCAGGACGATCCAGGCCCCCCCCGGAACGCCCTCGGCGAGGCGCAGCCGCTGGAAGGCACCGCGAGGCTGGAAAGCCGCCGAGACCCGACGGAAACGCCAGAAAACCTCACTGGGTCAGGCGCGGAAGGCCCACGGTCCCTTCGGGAGCACGGCGGGCCGCGCGCGAGGAGGAGCGCCGATGGGGTGTCGCTTTTTGGCCGGTCCTGGCCACGGAAAGTTCGCTCGACTGTTCGAGGGTTTTGGCGTCACTCCTGTTAAATCGGGCGTGTTCCTCTACAGGAGGAATATTTAAAAATTGTCAAAAAATAGTCAGGGGACGATTTTTTTTTTTTTTTTTTTTTTTTTTTTTTTTTTTTTTTTTTTTTTTTTTTTTCTCTGATTTTGAATATATGTTTTGAGTATTTTTATTTTTCCTCGAAAGTCGGCCTGTAGGGGGACAGGCCCGACCTAATCGTGGTTCTCGTCTCTCGAGGGGTGGACCGGCGGAGCTCCTCCTCGAGAGCACCCGGCCTGGCGCTCTCGCGCGCCCCGCGCCTTCGGCGGCCCCCCCCCCAGATGGACGACGACGGCGACGGCGATCTAGGCTTAATTCCGGCCTGTCCCCCTACAGGAGGAATATTCAAAAATAGTCCAAAAATAGTCTGGGTACGATTCTCACACATATTTTAGGCCACTCTGGAGTATTTTTGGAGTTTCTATAATAATGATTCCTCCAAAATCCGCCTGTAGGGGGACGCCCGACCTAAATCTGGGCCTCTCAGGTGGGGTTCCAACCTCGAGCCTCGATCATCGTACCTCGAGAAGGAGGGAATCGTCGATCCTCGACCCTCGATCCTCGAGAGCAGATGGGGTCGTTGGTTCGGTTGGTGCTGGTCAGTTGGTTCGAGGCTCGAGGGAATAGCTTCGATGTTAGCTGTTTTAGCGCATGCCTCCCAAATGGGGTTCAGGCAGATTGGGTCATCGCCGATACATCGCCGATTTGGCTCGATGCGGAGCCCAACATTATCCACGCCACCGGCGCCGATGCATCGGCGATGCGGCGCGATCCTCCGGCCCCGCCCACTCGGACTCCATCTGGGATCTAGATCTAGGAGACCTCTAGACGATCGAAGAAGATGACGACGATCGAGTACGACGATCATCGAGGACCCCGAGAGCTCCGCGCTGCAGTTTCTTCACAGCGGACGACTTCGCCCTGTTTCGGGCCCCCGGGGGCCCTCGCGGATCGATGCGACTCGAAAAGTGCAGCGGGAAGGCAGGGTCCAGGGCTCCCGTCGAATGTTTCTGAACGATGTGGCAATGTTTCGTGGCGTCGGATCTCGGGGGAAGGAGCGACGGCTTCTCTAGTCGCAGCGCTGGCGGGCGCTCAGCGAGGTCGGAGCGGCAAGCCCAGGCAGCGGAATGGGGCGAGTTGGGGCATCGAGCGGAAGAGCGAGCAGAGGGGAGGATGGCCGCAGCGTCGACCTCGAGCACGACGGTCGAAGAAAAGGACGACGATCGAGAAGATCCATTATGTTATGATGCAACTCCTGGGAGGTGAAATTCAGCATCGGTGTTGGTATGTCCGTGGTCGAAAACTGGCCTGATCCAGCCGAATCACCCGAAGATCTGCCTGTTCCGGCCTAATCTGGCCTGATCGTGCTTAATCTTGGGCTTCATCCGTACGAGTCTGGCTCAATGGCCCCCAAATCGGACCTAACGGCCCCTACCAGGCTTCCCAGACTCTGGCTCAGTGCCAGTATAGTTACGTCTATCTCATTAGCTTTAAGCCTTCCGCTGGGGCGGAAACGCAAGCAGTTATTATTAGAT